TCTAGCAGTATCATTAACCTTCCTTTGAAATTTGGCAGCTCTGTGGAAAACAAAAGGGGGGAAAAAGGCTGTAATCATTTCATATAAACTTTTGGTTTTGTGTCCACTGCGGTATGAAAACTGAGGGTAAAGGGTTGGATGACACCACCAGAGAGTAAGGAAGAGGGAGGGGAGGGAGGCTAGGCCAGCATCCAGGAGCACTAACGTTGAAAGGATGGGCAGGGAAAGAAGTCTGGGCATGGGAGGTTGAAAGGGAGCAATCGGAAAGAGACTGGGACCACCCTAGTGCTCATTCAATGTAGCTGCCTCTATAAAAATACACCATGAGGGATCAGGGTTAGCTGGGACCATCACCATCGCTTGCCATATCAGCTAATTAATGATGTAGACATACACTGGTTCTTTTCCCTTGTGTTTGAATGATATACTGTTACTTTTGACAGACGGTTACCTGCTCTGCCCATCCACCAACTGGCCCGTCCTCAGCTCTAGAGGAAAGCACGCAGGGAAGAGAATTTGGCTGTGATGAACTAGGAGTAGCTTTATAGCAATTGACCCAGTTACCTAATCCTAATCAAAGAAGGAAATGTGTAACTTCTTCATGCTATCATGTTTCTAAATCCTCCAACATTTTAGTGATTTGGTGTTAATAACCATTTATAGCAAGTCAACATTTTACATCCAATTTATCTTGAAGACTCGTCTAAGAAGTTACCTGTTCTAGGATAAAAATTCAGTGGACACTTTTCTTGGATCGTTTTGTGGTCAGTGATTACACTTGCTGTGTATTATTTTTAGGACAATTGTGTTTCGACCTTAAAGAGCTTTGAGGCCCTGCAATAGAGCAGATCCCAAATGACTTATTTACAAAGATGTAGGCTCCAAGATGCTTACTCCTTTGGGTCTTCCCCCAAAACAGGGTAGGAGGGCCTTCTGTTTAAGTTCCAGGCACTGTTAGTCCCTCCCTTTTTCATAAAATGTAAATACAAGGGCTTCTGTCTTTGCTGTTGCAATGTTTATGACTATACACCTGACCAGCACATATGATAACTAACTCCACTAGTTATCATTTATACCAGGACTAGTACTTACTAGAATAAACAAGATATATGAAAGATTGTAGAAGGAAATACAGTCTTGATTTCTTTAAGAAATGATTTCCTAAAATCAGGGGCCCTTAACAGATCCATAAATGCCTAAATATTCATATATGAGCTTCTAGAGGCCCATATACTCTCCCTGTCTTCCCGAGCATGAGCTTTAATCAGGTTTTCAGGAGGGTTAAGAACCTCTACTCTGGAGTATATTCCCTGATCAAGCCTTAGTTGAGCACCTGGAATGTGCCACTTTTCTCTGTCACCCAGGAAACTCATAGCTGAATATACACGAAGGATGTTATTAAAATGATGCTAATTTTGTTACAGTTTTTTCTTATGAAAATTCACACAAGATATTTCTCTGTGTTTTATAACTAGGAATAGATGTGAATAGATTGTTTTGAATGAAGAGCAGTTCACAATGTTAAATTCTATGTTGGTTGTTAGAAAGTTTAGGGCCAAACTCTCAACCCACCTGCTGCCCAAGTGCTTAGGACTTCACAGTGTGCATTTTGTGTTACTTTTTTTAAAAAATATTTTATTTATGAGAGAGAAAGAAAGTGTGCCCGTGAGATAGAGAGCATGGGGGGGAGAGGGTTAGAGGGAGCGGGAGAAGCTGACTCCCCGCTGAGCAGGGAGCCCCACTCTGGGGCTCTATCCCAGGACCCTGGGATCATGACCTGAGCCGAAGGCAGAAGCTTAACCGACTGAGCCACCCAGACGCCCCATATTTTATGTTACTTGATGTTGGGGTTTGAGGGACTAATAAATAACACCCATGTTCTCCAGCCTGAGTTCTAAACTAATTGAGAAATAGACACTGGAGACCAACAGGTGGAGATCCAAATGTCAGCTTTATTACCAACTCAAGCTAGGTGGGAGAATGCAGCCTATGTGTGAGGAGAAGTGGGCTGGTCATATTCCATCCCGACTTAGACAAACTTGCCCACCAAGTCACAGGCATGGTTAGAAGCCCTCACCTTTTCTGCAGGAAGGTGTGAACTGTTGGCAGACAGACACACTCTTTCCAGAGGGGATGGCCTCTCAACCCCTTCTCCCAAATTCAGAGAAACCCCTCTGGCCCTGGTACCTGGCCCACCTCCCTAAAAGAGGGGCGGGGGCAAGAAGCAGGAGCAGTACTCTAGGGAGATCCTCCCAAATGGCAAGATGGAAGCCATTACCCCCAATACCGAAATTCTGACCCTCATTCTCCCTTTGCCCAGTGTCCTTAACTATTTAGCTCTTTGCAACAGATATATTTTTTTGAAGTTCTTCACATTCTCTTTGGACCAGGTTGGGCCATATATGTCAACTGAAAAAAACTTATTTGAAAATCACAGGAATCCTAATATTTTTTATGGTATGAAATAACGAAAGGCCACACCACCTAGAGTGCTTCAAGAGGAAGGGATTGTAGGAGTCTGGAAATGAGTGAATTAGGCTTCTTGCGCCTTTCAGTGTTTAACTTAAAACGCTTGTGCCTTGCCTGTCTTTAATACCAATGTTTTAAACTCTGTGTTTTAAAAACCCAAAGGGATATGCATATTAACATGTCTCACCTCAGATTAGCTGTAGTTAATATCCGCAAAGAAGATAGACATTATAGAATGTTCTGTCATAAACCCATTTTAGAAGAGACAATGCCAGGGGCGCCTGGGTGGCTCAGTCAGTTAAGCGTCTGCCTTCGGCTCAGGTCATGATCCCAGGGTCCTGGGATCGAGTCCCACATTGGGCTCTCTGCTCAGTGGGGAGCCTGCTTCTCCCTCACCCTCTCCCTCTGTGCTTTCTATCTCTCTCTCAAATAAATAAATAAAATCTTTAAAAAAAAAAAAAAAGAAGAGACTACACCAAATTCCTTAACAAAAATTCTAGAACTGATAGGTCCAAATATGTATTGTACCTTGCAAGAGACTCAATTGGAAAAGCAATACCTTATTTCAATGAGGCCATTATTATTCTGAGAATTTCTTCATTAGAATGGCTATTGGAGGCTTCAGAAGGTATCTCAAACAGCCTAAAAAATGACAAGTCTTTGTCCTGTCAGGTGAATATGATTTTGGAAGCAGCCATTTGGAGCTATGTTCAGTAAATAATATACCTATTCAAATTTGGTGACAAAAAGTTTTAGTTAAAAATAAGATGATAAAAGAAACTATGGCAAATTTTCATGATCTTGGGTTTGGCAATGGTTTCTTTAATATAGCACCAAAAGTATAGGTAACATAAGAAAAAATAAATTGGTCTTCATTAAAATTAAAAACTTTGTTCATCAAAGATAACTGTCAACAGAGTGAAAAGACAACCTACAATTTGGGAGAAAATATTTACAAATCATATACCCGATATACATGCAGAATATCCAGAACATATAAAGAACTAAAACTCCACAATGAAAATTTAAACAATCTAATGCCAAAATAGGGAAAGGACTTGACTAGACATTTCTTCAAAAAAGATATACAAATGGCCAACAAGCACATGAAAAGATACTCTGCATCATTAGTCATTAGTGGAATGAAAATCAAAACCATATTGAGATAACAATTCACACTTGCTGGGATGGCTGTAATTTTTTTAATTAAAATAATAATTATAGAAGAAGATTTGGGGAAATTGGAGCCTTCATACATTGCCAACAGGCATGTAAAGTGGTTCAACCACTGAGGAAAACAGTTTGGTGGTTCTTTAAAAGTTAAAACAGAGAATTACCATGAGCCTGCAATTCCACTCCTAGGTATATGCCCAAAAGAACTGCATTCAGGGACACAAACAAATACTTGTATATAAGTGTTCACAACAGCACTCTTCACAATGGCCAAAAAGTAGAAACAACCCAAGTGTCCATCAATGGATAGATGGATAAACAAACTGTGGTACATCCATACAATGGAATACTGTTCATTCATAAAAAGGAATGAAATATTGATAAATATACAATGTGGATGTACCTGAAAACATGAAAAACATATGCTACCTGAAAAAACCAGATACAAAAGGGCATACTGTCTGGTTCCATTTATATGAAGTACCTAAAAAAGGCAAATTCATAGACAGAGAGTAGATTAGAGGTTACCTGGGAAGGGTTATAGGGAATTTAGTGGGTGCAGAGTTTCTATTCAGAGCAATGAAAGAATTTTGGAAATAGTGGTGCTGGTTGCACATGCCCCTGATATGTACACTTTAATAGGGTTAAAATTTTATGATATCTATATATATATATATATATATATATAATTTCTTGTTAGGCATTACATGTAAAATATATAGAACATTGTATTATTAGTCATTAATATAAAACTAAGCAAATTTTATATAACTGACCACAACTTTAAAAGCGTTCAAAATTTACAACAGTTAACATTGTATTTTAAGGAGTCTAGCAGTTCTTCCTTTATTTTTCTTGACAAATGCCCTGTGGAAATAATGAAATGCAAACAGATTTTATATCAAATTAAACTCTCAATAATGCATATTAATACCTTAAAAGAAAAAACAAGATGATTAGAAAGTGGTGAGAGCTTTTTCCCGTGCTTCCTCCTGAAAGTAAAGCCCTTGATGTGTGTAACAGGAAGTCAAAAGGGAAACCGGGTAGATTTTGCTGTTCAGGAGAATGTGTCATTTGTAGATAAGTGAATTGTGGTCAAATTGCATAGTTCACATCCCGTGCAAAGAAACGTCAGATTGTTTATGTTTAGTCAACTACTGTTGATATTAACACCTAGAATATGGTGAAATCTTTCTAAATAGGGCGGGGAACCCATTTTTCCCTTCTATTCTTTGCACGCCGAGTTTGTTCTCAAGGAGCTGCCAGTCTTAGGCTCGTAATGCACGGCTTCGTCCTTCCTCCTTTTGAGCGAAAGCATTAGAGACGACTATTCACGTGCAACCCTGGTTCTTTTCCAGAGCATAGGAAACTTGGAAATATGACTGTGACCGTGAAGAAGACTGTCCCCTCCCCCGAAGCCGTGCAGATTCTCTACCAGCGAATGAGATACGAGTATGAGTTCTACCACTACGTCAAAGAGCAGTTCCACCTGCTGAAGCGCAAGTTTGGACTGAAGTCCCACGTCAGCAGGCCCCCTCTGAGACCCCAGTTCTTTATTCCAACTCCACTGGAAACCGAGGAGCCAATCGATGACGAGGAGCAAGATGACGAGAAGTGGCTAGAAGATATTTATAAGAGGTGATGCCAGCACTGTGTTGCCTCCACCGGCTGTATCTCCCTTTTCCAGAAAGTTCTTTTGTGGGGGGGAGGAAAAATCCTTAAGGGACTAAATTAATGCTCAGCTGCATTAAAAAGAACAAAACATGCCCATATGTTGGGGTCATGGGGAGATGCCTGGTTTTGCGGGTCTCACTTGTCTGACTGCATTGTGTCTTCCTGGCTCCTTGGGTCCTATCCCAGGTACACTAGATGGTGCCATCATGGAGCATCCCATCAAAACATAGCTTTTCCCTCTAACATCATGAAAGGAGGGGGAGAAATAGAGCCCATGGCCCAGTAACTTATCATTTGTAAAATGACTTGTAAAAATATTACCTCAGTGGTAGGACACATCCAGACTTACCTATTTCGGTAGAAAGACAAAACCACTTCAGAGACCAGGGAATCCACTCTAGAAGGATCTAAGAGGAGAAGCTAAGACTGATAAGGACCTCAAAAGGGAGGATGCCCTTGGATGAGTGGTTTCTGCCCCCGTGGGTAGAATTCTGCCTCTGGTCCATCTCAGGGGACACCTTCACCAAGAGCAGCGTACTTATCTCTGAAAGGAGTCAGCTCTTGCCACACCCCCAACCCATCTAGAGCCTCGGGTACCTTTCAAGGTCAAGGGGCACGGCAAGCTCCATTGAGACACTCCCTTTCCAAGCACTATTCTGACAGATATCAAAGCAGTGTAGCAGGGAAAAGAATTTGTTTGCTATGTAAGGAAGACTGTAGGCGAGACAGAGCAACTCTGGAGGTCATGTGACATCAGGAAAATGGTACGGTTGTGTTCTTTGCACCCAGTATGAAACATCTCTCTCCCCAGCATGCTTTCACTGGAAACCCAGGAACCAGTTTAGCTCTGGCATTTGGCGGCTGTGGGCAGAAGTTCTAAGCCTGACCACAGACGACGATGCATAATCTACCAGGCAAACCCCTGGCCCCAGTTGGGTCCACAGTCACTGGCATCTTTCACCTTTGGTCCCTTGAGAGGTACCTGGTTTTGGTAAAAAAAAAAAGAAAAGGGGGGGGTCCTGAGTTCTACTCAGGCAGCTGTGAAACCACAGTCCCATTTCTTATGGAAGCAGCTCTCTCCTGAGAACGCTTATTAAGACATTAAGAAGAGAAGAAGCAAGAGCTTCTGGTAAGTGTCTGCCTGACCAGCTCTCTGAGTAGGTGTCTCCCTGCAGAGTAGTCTGCATAGCTGTTGGGCAGTTCCATTGCTCCAAATATCTCTTCTCCCCATTTCTCTCCCGTCATCTGCCACCTATTCATGATCCTGTGGGTCTTCGGCTTCTGAAATGTTTTCACCGTTAACTGCTCCCTCCTCCCCAGCCCTGAATATACATATATTCCTGGGTGGATAACATACAGCCAACCGAGAAGCAAGGGTGCAGGTGGTGATGGTAGGCAGGATACTTGCATCAGATTTTGTCTCCTTCATGTTTTTTCCCCTAGAGCCGGTCCTTTCAAAGCACTAGCAAAGTGTGAGTTGGGAACACTTAATAGTAAATAAGACTGACTTTACACAAGCTACACATTTTCTACTTTTCAGAAACCAACAAGTCTCTCTAGAGTTTTTTCTTCGTTCACTAAAACTGGACGGTAGCCAAGATATAAAGCAAGTCCTTTGGAACCTGTCAAGTGAGCACTAAAGCTACTTTATCATGAGATGTACTGAGAAGGCTCCGCCCCACAGGAGTCCAGCGAAGGCTGGGACCACAGAGGCACAAAATCCAGCATTTGGCCACTGGTGGGCCTCCTTTCTGCCTCAGAGAACTGGGGCAGAGACGTGCTTAAGAAAAATGTTCTTAGAAGAGGAAATATCCTTTGTCCTGTTGAGAGAGGCCAGGGCCCTACCATTAGGCCTACCTTAAAAAGCAACACAGAGAACCGCTGTCCTATTGAAAACAAAAACAAGAACGACAGCCTGGTACATGGTGAGTCATTTCTCTGAAACTGCACATAAAGAATGATAATTAGTTCACACACTGTACAAGCTCACTCTCTGAAAATAAAATTGAATTGTCTTCGTGGTTTCTCTTTGTCAGAACATCAGGACCACTGGTCATGTTAGCAATGCGTCATCCTCCGAGTTCACATGAGCACTGGGTGTCCAAAGGCATTTATTGTCAGCAGTGATCCTGATAACATCCCAGCAAAAGATGCTGACGGATTCACTTGCAGGGCCTTACTGTTACTCTGTCCCAACAAATAGCCTCTACGTCCTGATAGTCAAGGCACTTCATCAGTTTATTGGCACACATGACAACATTTCTTTGGCCCTGAGCCCAACGCAGTTTGTACTTCATGAAATATATTGTACATTTTACATAGTTTAATTTAAAAAATACATTTTAAGCTGGTTGATCTTTGACTGCCTTATTTATTATAACCTTTCAGCACATTCCAAGGTTTTAGTTACTCAGGAAGGAGTTAATTAAAATGATTTTTATTTTGGTCTGATGGATGTTTTTTAAAAGGAAAATTATTATTATGAACCTTCAGCCTACTTTCCTTGAGTGCCGTAAAAGTGCTTGTAAATCTTTTTTTTTTTTTTTAAGAAGAAGGAAAAAAATGGTGTTTGACATGGATGGAAATTCAAAAATATATATGGAACTGAAACATTAGCTTAGCTAAAATAAAAGCAATCTGTGTTTGAGATGAAGTGTTCCTTAACTTATTCATTATTCATATAAATAAATGAATATAAATAAGTTGAAATTTTTTTTTCCATTCTGTTGATAGCTGGAAGTAAAAGTGCCTGCCGTTCTTCACAGTGCCCTCGGCCTTCTTAACTGGCCAACCTTTTTCCATCAAGACGTGCCTTTTTTAGAAAGATGTATTTTTTTTTTAAGTCCATAAACTCTATTCTTATGATTGGATGACACCAAAAAGCTGGCAGAAAAAATGAACTAGAGCTAGGCCTTCATTCATCTGGTTGTGTGTATACAAGCCCGAGCAGCTGACTTTACCCCCACGTGAACTGGTTGGTTTGGTGTCGGGGTGGTTCAGCAGAACCCTCAAGCCCCCGATTGCTGGTGTCTCAGCTGCACATCTGCCCCAACACAGGCAAGGAAGGATACGCCGCACCACGCCTCTTAGCATGTATTCTGATCTCTTTCTCCGACAGGTAGAGCCTCAAAAGCTGGGTGATTCTCACCTCCCAAGCAAGCAGTTTTGATCCAGAAACACTCTTCTTGTGAAATTTCACAGCTGCATCAAAAGGGACTTGCAGGGATGTCTGGGTGGCTCAGTCGGTTAAGCGTCTGCCTTTGATTCAGGTCATGATCCCAGGGTGCTGGGATTGAGTCCCGCACTGGACTTCCTGCTCAGCCAGGAGTCTGCCTTTTCCTCTCCCTCTGCTCCTGCTCATGTTCTCTCTCCCTCCCTCCCTCTCTCTCTCTCTCAAATAAATAAAATGTTAAAAGGGGGGGGACTTGCAAGAGAGTCAGGGAGTCCCCAAGCTTTCTAGCTATCAGACACCACGTGCCAACTACATGTGGCTATTTTGTAAAAGGAAAGAATCAGGATCTTGGTACTAGACAAAAGAAAAACCTATTTTGGTAATAATATGCTTTAAGTAAGAGTCTGAGTCTTAAACAACAAGTGATAAGTGGTTACATTTATCATTTAATTTGTTCTGTAACTTGGTCACATGATGTCTGACTCTGAGTGATCTTTAAAGACAAAAGTACTGAACAAAACCTGGACCATACCCCCTCTGGAGTTGCTTTGTTTGGTCTGAAGTTCTTCATAAATGTGCTGTTACCTACAAGTTCATCCAGGGAACTATTTGGCTTTAAATGAAGGTTGTGGATAATGGTAGGATTTCTCAGAAGGCAGAGTGATGATCCATAAGCACTCAGAACAATTGTTCTGTGGGTCAAAATTATGAAATTCTCTTTTAGCAAAAGTAAAGAGGATTTATTTTACTAAAATAACTTGCTTCACATCTGGTGATGAGGAGAATAATTTTTTTTTAAGCATGTTAAGTATCCTACAAAGGAAAAGCCTGTTTTAGGCTAAAACCAGTATTAAGACTCTGTTAAGAAAAACACATAGAACTTCTTTCACAGCTCAGAAAATTCACTGTGGCAGAGCTCAGTGTGTTAGGGCCATAGACTGGCTTAAACAACAGAAATTTATTTTCTCACACTTCTGGAGGCTAGAAGTTTGAGATCAAAACGTTGGTTTCTCCCGAGGCCTGTCTCTTTGGCTTGTACCTGGGCATCTTCTCTCTCCGTCTTCACATAGTCTCACCCGTGTGCCCCCTTGTGTCTGGGCCCAAATTCTTTTAATAAGGACACCATTCATCTTGGATTCACACCCACCCCGATTCCTTCATTTTAACTTGATTAGCCCTATCGAGGCCTTATCTCCAAATACAGTCACATTCTGAGGTGCTGGGTGTTAGGACACCAACATATGAGTTTTGTGGGGACACACTTCCTCTCAGAACACCCAGATGATAGAGAAGTTAGAGCCGAGGAACTAACCTCTGACTAGGAGAGAAGCGAGCCTCAAATCACAGACCCCTCCGACGGCAGTGCGGCTCAGTGGTCATCTGGCCCTTGTCCTTATTTTATACGTAAGGAATTGAAGGTCCAGACAAATACAAGACGCAAATACATCACATGTTAACTTTTTCCATTGAGGGTTTAATTAACTTTCGAATATCGAACAAATCAAAAACTTTAAAATGATGATCTAGCCAGAGTCCCTCTACTGACCTAAATCCGGGATGGGAAGGATAAGCCACATCCAGTACCCCCTGCCTCATGGACACCGCCCCCCTGTGTGGCTCTCCTGGGAGTGGGGCCTGTGGAACCCCCTTCCACAGAGGGAGACCCTCATCACTTAAGGCCTCAGAGACAGATGTCGAAATAAACCGGTTTCATTTTAGATGTTCCTCTCTCAAAGAATTTGGGCTACATGTTGCCCCTCTCAGATTATAGAGTTTTATTTCTATGAAAAAGCAAAATGAAGATTCACGTTCTACTTCTTGTAAGGAGTTTCAGAAGGACCTACCTCAAAAAACAAAGTCAAATGTAGCTCCTAAAACTCGTGGCAGACGAGTGCAGACTTGCCCCTGGAAACCCGGAGCAAGAGAGTACCCAGGACCCGAGCGCTCCCTGGCCTCTCCCCGCGCCCACCGACTGCTTCACGCACTCGAGAATTCCTTTCTGTGTAGGCCAGGCTTGGCTGCCGGCTCCCGGGCCTGCAGATTCCCAAGGAACACCCGGGCCCACAGGTGTTCATGGGTCACAGAATTGTGAACTGACCCCTTGTGCCCTTTGGCTTTCAACTTGTCAACATGGGGATTCCCTTAAAAAAAAAAAAAAAAAAAAAAAAAAAGGAAGGGAAGAAAAATCACCGTGCACAGGAAAAATGTGAGCTAAGTTTTTCCTTTGGAATCTTGGCGTGCGCGTTTAGCTATCTTCAATCTGGCTTTCGCCAGACACTGTGCTTCGAGCAGGCATGGAGCAATCTGCCTTACACTGTGCTGCCAGAACATTCAGACTTGACCTTGTAACACGCCTCCTATTCCAGTCATGAGCGGAGACAGCCGTCAGGTCGGCCGCGCCAGACGCAGCATGCTGGCTGCGTGGGGCAGCTAGAGAAGCCTCTAGAACCAGGAAGCAGAGCTGCTGGCTGACAAGGGCATACACACTGCACACCGGCGAAGTCCCCGAGTTCACCTCCCAGCTGCTCTATTTCACTGGGCGCTGGAGTAATAAGTCACTTGCCCTCTCCCTGCCTGAAGTCAGGCCAGCTGGAAAATAGGAGGTCCATTGAAAACCAAGAGTTGCTTCTGGAATGAACTTTGTCCCCACACCCCACCCTCCACCCCCATATGCTAAGAGACTAAGAGCCACAATCCCATAGGAGCTGATGAATGTTCGTTTTCTCCACAAAGCGCTCTGTCCTCAGGAAGAGAGCCTATATTACACATAATTCTAGGTCGGTCCATGCCCCCAGGCCCTCACGCCTGCCCGCGGTCCCATCTAACCTATCACTGAGTCCGCGGGAAGCAGCCTTTGGGAGATGCGAATGGAACCAGTAGGAATAGGCACGTTCCGGCGGACGTGGGTCAGTATTCTTAACCTGTGCCGTTTTTCAAGCCGAACCACCTTATGGATTTCCAGTTTTCTCTAACACTCTCTTTGGGAGGAGGTTGTCTAGCTGTGCGTTACAGGAATCCTCTCTAACTCACAGCTTCTAAATACAGGCATCTTCTAACTTCTTTAAAGTACCCTGCATATCTGTGATCCTGTTCATGGTAAAAAGCCTAAAACATCCATGTCAATTAGTACAGGGTGTGCATAAGAAAAGTTTTCATAAAGGTTGGAAACCCAATAGGATGGGGTACTGTACTTTTTGGCATCTTATTCTCAACGTGGCATCACTACTCGGACGTTTTGGGAGAAGTCTGGTAATGATTTTGTGGGCTGGTGATGTGTGCAGCGTGGTCGATCCTTCTGACTCCATTATGGGACTGCCATGAGAGGACTCTAAATCTTTTGTGTTACTACTTTTTTACTGACCACAAACTTCTTTACAGCCACCCTATTTGCTGCTTATATCGAATTTACCATCTCTTTTCCTCCTCTGGCATACTTTCCTATTTGCTCTCCATTTTTGATTGAAAGTTAATGAAATTCTAATCCAGTGCATATTCCCAAAAGATAATTCACGAACCAGGTGTGTGAGATAGGCGTGAAAAAAAATCCTTTATGTTAAACAAGTTGGGAAATGCTTTAGCTCAAAGTGTCACAAAGTACAGTGGTATTTTAAGAGCACACTAAGGGTCTGGAAGAATACTGCCGTTTTTAAAAGTCAGCTTATCTTGGGGCACAGTGGGTTAAGCATCTGACTCTTGGTTTCAGCTCAGGTGGTGATCTCATGGTCATGAGACTGAGCTCCGTGTCGGGCTCCACGCTCAGCACAGAGTCTGGTTGGGAGTCTCTCTCTCCCACTCTCCTCCCACTCGTGCTCTCTCTCTCTCTTTCTCTGAAATAAAGAAA